TAATTATACATGATGGTTATATTTACAAAGGAACCCAGTACGATGCGGTTGAAGAACAAAAGTCTTGGAAGTTACGGGTTCTATTTTTCTTAATTAAATATTGAGCGGTAATAGAGGTTTAACCAAAACCATTTCCATAAATGGTTTTTCATGGGCCGAAAATATCTTAAAAATTGCGTTAACCCACCGTTTTTGTTCGATTTCTCCAAAGATTATGTCTCGATTTATTAGGTCCTTATCCTAGAACATCTTTTGCTCATATTAGTATTATTATTGTTTCGATCACTTGACGAAGTTTAATTTTCTCAAAGCTAATGAAAAGCATAATGCTCACAGTAGCGAATATGTCCATTTGTCCTGACAAGGCCTACAGTAGGTGTATTTCTTTAGTGGAAACGTCCTTCGGCGGTCTGAGGGGAAAAGTTTGAATCCCCTCATTACTTCCAAACTAACTAACAAACTAACTACATCCATTTACATCCTCCAACCTTTTTGACCTTTTTAACATACGATCGCAGCTCGTAGGCATTAATGTTTTACGCTTTTTAGGTAAGCAAATAACTGTTTCTCGATGGAAAGTTGTATGAAAAATCTACCGTTTTGAATATTGCGTGAATTTCAGGTCAACATTGTTCTTGAAATCAGTTTTGTTTTTATGTGATTATTTTATTTGTCATTTTTTAGGATGTCATTTTATAGCTTCGAGAGGATTTCGAAAGGTCAGCAAACTGTCGTTATTTACATCAACTTCACTAAGGCTTTTGATAGGGTACATCAGGACTTTCTTCATTTTTAAATTTACTTTAAGTTTTTTCGGATATTGCGGTTAAGTGATTTTTCCTTTTATCTGAAAAGCCGTGTGCAAAGTGTTACAATTGAACTTTATGTAGAGAAATAATAGCTGCCTATGGCAATGATGTAAAGCTGCCCCTGTCATTTAATACAAGATTAGACTGAAGCGAAGTTTAGACACTTTAGTGATTTAGAGTTGAGTGAATCTCAGGTGTCTTAATTTGCGTAAATGTAGGGAATTGCCATCTTGTAGAATATGCATACGCAGACAACTCAGAATATTCCACCTTTGCGTTGTTTTACAACACCCAAATTGCACTTCTAGTCCTATATACGTTTAATTGTAAATAAACTATAAGAAGGGATTTGTCAGAAGACAGTCGCGTGAACTTGATGATTCCGACATAACAAAGGATCTGAAATTAGTTAAAAAAAACCAATCTGCAAGACTTCTGCCTTCATTTCAAGCTTTCAAAAGCAGTCAAAGTTTTGATAAGAAATGGTCGATGGATCAATTTCACCCAAATTCAGTAATTAGTGCCTTCATGCGGAAACCGATATATTTTTTCAAAGAAGTCGGTCTAAAGTATTTTCTTTTTCCGTTATCAATTGTCGAGGATGGTCGACTAAGGTCATTGTACGTCAAAAAGTTTTCGATGCAACCTGCAGCTGCCAATTTTCATATTATTCTGCTCCTCATCGATTACAGTCTGACATATCCACAGCTACAGCAGTGTCCCAATCACGTAACTAACCGTACTCGTAGGCGTTCAACCAACCACTTGTATCCCAATCGTAGGGTAAGACGGCTTCACAGGAGGTTCCATAGAGTTTACTGCCTACGATAAAGATTTCATGAAATTCACGTTCCTACCAAAAATTAATAACTTCCCCACGTTGGGTGCGTATATCGAAACGTTCCATGCAAGTTCCTAAACCTTCACAACCGTAAATCTGGAATAAATACTCAGAATGCGTTTAAGGGAAAATCAATACGGTTTTTTCATGCAGTTAAATAAAAGATTTTAAATTTATTCAAACTACCTGTACGAATATATGTAAAAATTAATAAAAAAAAATATGCGAAAATCGAACGGCAGGTCTCTAAAAACTTACAAAAACTAGTCAGCAGAATCTGTCCATACAGCTTTTCAGAAAGCGTACGACAACATTAGTGAGACGATTTACCTTTTTCCGAAGATCAGGATCATGCAGCTCGGGTTCGTGCTGGTAAGATTACTGTCCGGAATAAATTTCAGAGAGAAAATGGACACCAACATCACGTGGTCGTAAGTTGCTCCGCGCGCCATCTATGCGAGGCATAGATTTGACTCCCTCAACCACCACTGCAGATACCAACAGTTCATTAAATCCTCTCTGTTGCTAACACTAAATACTTTTCTAAATTTGTTAACTCTAAAAGAAAAATTTCCACATATCCCTCTCATGTTTCTTTTAATGGGTCTGATTCCTCGGATGATTTTGAAATTTCAAATTTGTTTGCTGAGTATTTCCGACGAAACTTTTCGATTGCTAACTTCGATTTATTAGCAAACCACCCATATCCTATAACTAACTCGGTTTCAATTCCTAACTTCGTTATTTCGGAAGATGACGTTTCTAAAGAGTTGAGTTCTCTAAAATACAGTTGTTCGCCTGGACCAGATGGAATTCCATCATGTGTACTTAAATCTTGCGCTGCCGAGTTATGTGGTGTTATCTCAAAGATTTTTAACATGTCCTTGTATTTAGGTGTTTTCCCTTCATGTTGGAAGAGTAGTTTCCTTATTCCTATCCACAAAAGTGGAAGTAGACAATTTGTTGAGAACTACAGAGGCATAGCCAAGTTGAGTGTCTTGCGTAAGTTGTTCGAGCGTATTGTGACTCAGCATTCGGCCTTTGCCATTAATCCGTATATTTCTCCGCACCAGCACGGCTTTCGGAAAGGGCGATCTACCCACCGAGTCACCAACTTGTTAGAGTTTACCTGCCATGTTTTCAAGGCTTTTTCTAGTGGCTCTCGCACAGATGTTATTTACACTGATTTAATTAAGCAAAGCATTTGATATGGTTAACTACAGACTACTTATCTTTAAACTCCAAGCCTCTGGTTTCCCACCCTACTTAGTGAAATGGATAAGCTCTTATCTGCACAATAGATCCTTCAGGGTCTTGTTTAACTCCATCACCTCGGATGAATTCCCCGTTACGTCTGGCGTACCTCACGGAAGTCGCTGAGGTCCCATTTTATTTAGTTTATACTTTAACGATCTCCCATCGGTGGTTAATTCCAGCCAGATCTTAATGTGTGCTGATGATGTGAAACTGTTTTCTTCTTTCTCTGTTGAATCGCAATCACATCATCTTCAAGGTGATTTGGATAATTTTGTTGCATGGTGCTCTTTGAATCTTCTGAAACTAAATCTGAGTAAATGTAAGAAGCTTTCATTCTCAAGAAGAAAGTCATTCATTACTCAGTATTTCATAGATACGCATAAGTTGGAGGGCGTCGATTCGATCACAGATTTAGACGTTCTATTTGACCATAGGCTACGTTTTAACTTGCATATTGAGCTCTCGATAAGCAAAGCTAGATCCGCGCTTGGTTTTATAAAAAGGTGGTTCAAGGAGCTTGATGATCCCTACATTATGAAAAGGCTTTACATGTGTTTGGTTAGACCTATACTTGAGTATGCCTCTGTTGTGTGGTCTCCTTCATATTGGTACTATATAGATTCAATTGAATCTGTTCAAAAGCAATTCTTGCTGTTTTTCCTTAGAAATTTGGGTTGGGATCCGTTTGCCTCTCTTCCTCCCTATGAAAATAGGTCGTTACTGCTGTCCTTACCGTCTCTTGAGAACCTAAATGAACTTAAATGAACACTTATCGGACTCTTTAAAGTCCATTAAAGCAACATTACTTAATACGCGTCATTTACCTATGTCGTACTTAAACTAGATTTTATCCTTAAAAATTCGTTACGATTCGAAAATGAATGTTTTATTGTACTTATACTAAGTTCTATTATTAATTATAATATAAGTTGTGCATTAAGAGACAATTGAACTCGATCGTTATTTGTTTAGTTGAGTTTCACGTATAAGTAGAATTAAAATAAATAAATAAATAAATAAATCTCCACCCTCCTCGCAATATTCGCTGTATTCCAATGGTAAGTTTGCATTTATCTTTACTGATTGTCATTTATAACTTAATTCTTTATTTCAATTTAATTTCAGATTAAAACACAATAGGACAATAAAAATTGCTCACCATAAAAAGACAAATTTTTTTCCCGTGAAGGAGTTGACCGGCGATATGCAACTGACAAAAACTGAAATGAGTGAGACGCAGATATTGGTAACGACACCGGAGAAATGGGATGTGGTAACAAGGAAAAGTCAGCTTACATTTTTTATAAAGTATATAAATAATAATATCAAGTTGTGTTTTAGGAGCTGGCGAGGTGTCGCTTATTAGCTTAGTAAAATTGTTAATCATAGATAAAGTTCATCTGTTGCACGGCGAACGCGGTCCCGTAGTGGAGGCGTTAGTGGCAAATACTCTACGTTTGGTAGAATCTTCTCAAAGTATGATACGTATAGTGGATCTCTCTCGGCCACTTTGCCGAACTACATCGATGTGGCTAATTTCCTCCGAGTGAATCCCATAAAGGGTCTTTTCTACTTTGATGGATACAAATTTTTTTGGTATCAAAGCCATTCAGCCTTTACAACAGCTAAGCGATATGGATCAAGTTTGCTATCAGAAATGTGTAGAACAACTACAACACGGTGATCAGGTAATGGTGTTTGTCCATGCCCGTAATGCTACAGTGCGCACAGCTAGTACACAACGTGAATTGGCGCAGCAGAATAACACATGTGCACTCTTTCTTCCCGATACCTATACCAGTGATTATGGATTAGCTATCAAAGCCATACAGAAGTCACGGAACAAAAAATTAGTGGAACTGTTTTCGGCTGGCATAGCTGTGCATCATACTGGTATGTTAAGAACGGACAGACATTTGATAGAGAAATATTTCTCGGAGGGATACATTAAAGTCTTAGTTTGCACAGCGACTTTGGCTTGGGGCGTTAATTTAGTGGCTCATGCCGTAATCATAAAAGGTGATTTTACTTTATTGATTTCATGTATATTTATAGTAATAGGAGGAGATCGAACAAATTATCTTTCCAGGTACCGATATCTACGATTCCAAGCGTGGCACATTTGTGGATCTTGGTATTATGGACGTTTTACAAATTTTCGGCTGCGCTGGTGGACCACAGTTCGATAAAAGCGGTGTGGGCACTATTCACTACGCACGATAAACTTAACCATTACTTATCTCTGCTCACGAATCAATTTCCCATTGAATCAAACTTCATTCAATGCTTGACAGATAATGTTAATGCCGAGATAGTTTCGGGGACCATTACAAATGTTGAAGAAGTCATAGAGTGGTTGAGTTATACCTATCTGTTTGTGCGCATGCGTATCAACCCTCACGTTTACGAAATCGAATATGTCGAGGTTAAGGAAGATCCCTCCTTAGAACGTAAGCGAAGAGCCTTAATTGTAGGTGCTGCCATGAGTTTGGATAAAGCGCGTATGATACGTTTCAAGCAGCGAACTCTCGATTTTAATGTCACAGATTTAGGTCGCACAGCTTCGCATTATTATATAAAAGACGATACGGTAGAAATATTTAATGAACTTATAAAACCGTTTATGAACGAAGGTGATATATTTGTAATGATGTCGCAACCCCAAGAGTTCGAGCAGCTCAAAGTACGTGATGATGAACTGGAAGAATTGGACGAATTAAAACGCAATTATTGCAAAGTTAAAGTATTTGGCGGTAGTGAAAATGTTTGCGGAAAAATTAATATATTAATGCAGACATGTTTCAATCCTTCGAATCTTCGTTCATCAACCAGTTCCATTTGAACTGTTTAAACTTTTAAGGTGCCAAAAAATGAAGGAATTACTTTATTCCTTCAGGTTTAAAGTAAATTGGGTTCAATTTCTTTGAAAAACAATTTCGAAACTGGTGTAGTTTAATTACCAAAGCTAAACACGCATCAATGAACCAGTAAGAAGGTTATATTATATCCAGCCTGTAAACCTTTGGTTCATCTAAGGTTTTAATGTCCAAGAAATCCGTCTTTTCACGTATTAAATGAGAATTAAATTATAACTAACACACTTTACTGCATTCTACTCTCCAACGCCTATCATTTGCTGCCCATATCGAAGGTATTTTTAAAAAAACATTTATTCACTAAGTCATGATTGCTACCTTAATTAGTTTAGAATTAATACGGTAAGCTTTTCGCGTTCCACTGTCCAAGTTCTTTTAAGTGATAACCGTATTTTCACTAATAAATAAGTTCATTCAGTCGTGACGTGCGGGACATTTAATTTGGAACTGACCCATTTGACGCATTCTACCCACCTGGTTCTTTTATTTGATACCCATATCGCAGGTATTATTAAGAACATATTAATCGCGTCTATTCATTTCAGAATTATACCGTTTTAAGCGAATTAATTCATCTTCATTTAAACAATGAACAATATAGATTGTAACGAGTTTCCTTAGGCGGGGTATACCCAGTCAATCCAGGATCCGTTGCAAGAAAATTTTAATAAATAATCAGGACCTTCGGGGGGAATGGTGTTATGATCTCTTAGCTTTATTGGTTCCTTTTTACTGGACGGAAGTATGAAATGGCTGGGGCAAGGAAAAGGAACCAGCGAGGGGACCCGACTTTGTTGCGCGCTTACCGTTTTATTTTCTTTTCTTACGACGTTAGACTTTCACTTTCTGTTCGATTTCAATATCGCGGGGCGCTGGAAGAAAAGAACCGAAAACTTTGCCAGTGTCATAGCTGCTTAGGCTCGCCTGTTTGTCCCTGGTTGGTGGGTGAGTCCAGTAATAAGATAGTAAAAAAAAGTCTCTCCGTCCTTCAGGGATGGCGATTAATACTAACCAGCGCATCCCCTATCCG